GTTCATGCTAGTTTACAAAAACAATTGATATTTTTATGTTTATCTTGTATACTGTGACCTTGCTGAAACTCTCACTTTGTTCTAAGAGGTTTGTTTTGTATATTCCTTGGGTGTTTTTTTTTTTGTTTTTTTTTAAGGAGCCCTGGTGATGTAATGGGCTGTCCTTTGAGCTACTAACCACAAAGGCAGCCGTTCAAACCCACCAGTGTTTCTATTGAAAGATGAGATTGTCATATGCTCCCTAGAAAGTTTAAAGTCTGGAAACTTAGTAGCAGTTCTTCTCTGCCCTATATGGTCACTGAGCTGGAATTGAGTCACTTGCAATGAAGTTTCAATTGTATATTTTGTATTTTGGGGTGGTAGGGGTGTTTTGTACTTTGGGAGGGGTTTGGGGCAGTTTGCATATAGATAGTTGTGTCATTTGCAAATGGATAATGATTTATTTATCGTGTTTCTTTAAATCCACTTTGTCAATATTTGTCTTTAAGATCAGTAATATTTAATTTAATTACTGATGTGTTGGGGTTTAAGTCAACCTGAGTTTTACTGTTCATAAATTTTCATTTGGTTCTTTTATGGATCTTTTATTATTTCCTAAGACTTTCTACCTTCTTGAGACTTCTGATTTTCTATTTTCTTTGTGTGTGTGTTCTAAATTGTTCATTGAAGCATTTTTGTGCTCACTGCTTTAAAGTCTCCGGTAATTATAACACGTGTGTTATCCTGGTGTTTGTATCTTGTTCATTGTCTTTTTTCATTTGATGGAGATCTTACTTCTTGGTATGACAAACGATACTTAACTGAAACTTGGAAATGTTGAGTTTTATGTAACTGGGTTTTACATAAACTTTTTCTTTTTCTTTTTTTTTTTTTTAGCTAGCTTCGGACATCACTTTGGCAGAAGTGGGGGCCTAGCACCTCATTGACATCCAAGAGGGAATTCTCATTATTGATAGGTGAGGGTGACAGTTCCAGGACTGTATGAGGACTCCACTAATATCTGACTGGGTTTGGCCAGAAGTCCTGATATACCTCTCAATATGCGGAGGGGGACTAGATCCCTGTTCCTATCTAATGGAAGGCGAGGTTCATTATGTGGTTTCTATTGACAGTGTAAGTGTTAGAACCTCATTGCATCTCAGTGAGGGTGAGAATTTCAACTTCCCACTCATGCTGAAATAGAGGGGTTGGACCGCAGTTTTTTATGTGGTGGTTGGTTAGAGTACAGGACTGATTTCTAAAGTTTTCGTTTATGTTCATATGTCCCTTCCAGTTCTTTTTGCTAGAGAGATCAGAGTTTTATTGGGTCTTTCTTGGTCTGTGCCCACTGACATTTCTGCTTTGACAGTTCTTCAGCTCCAAATCTAGGATACATGAGACAAAGAGAAAACCCAAAGAATTCACCACCATGAGATTCTAGCCAGTCTCTTCACTATTTCAGGGTGTTTTTTTTAAACATTTGTGTTACGTATAATGCTTATTTTGTAGTTGTGGTTGGTGGGAGAGATAGTGCAAAGTACATCTATTCCATCTATAAGCAGAAGTTCTTTGTTTTACTGACAAACCTTTATTTGCCCATTTCACTCTAGTTAGTGTTTCATTTCTCTATACACCTATAAATCATTTATACTTATTTTTCTCCAGTCTGTCTCTTCATTCTATTTAAAACTTACTCTACTAAGATTTTTATCTTTACCAAAACAACTCTTGTCAAAGTGTTTCTTAGAAGTGAATAGTAAAATAACACCTATCAAAATGTTTAAGGAGCCTTGGTGGGGTAATGGTTATACACTGGGCTGCTAGCTGCAAGGTCAGCAGTTCAAAACCATCTATTCCAAGGAAGAAAGACATGGCTTTGTACTTTTGTGACGAATTACAATCTCAGAAACTTAAACGGGGATAGTTCTACCCTGTCCTATAGTGTCACTATGAATTGGCATCTACTCGATAGCGTGAGTTTGAGAGATCATAATGTGTGGGTTGTACATGGAGGGATGTCTATAGCGAATAAAGATCAACCCATAAAGGATCCAGAGACTGAAGAGGGACAGAATAAGATGTTTAGACATTGACACATGAGTGGATTAGCATATTCTGGCACGTTTGATCAAGAAAGAAAAAGTAAGGCATAATAATAGTTTTATAAAACTGTACTTATAATGTATAAAGCTAAATAGAAGCACATGCTCAGGAGCACTGAGCTTCTATGATGGGGGAAGTTTTAGGAATGGTTAGTTATGCTTGTTGAACATGATGAAAAGTCACATAACTGTACGGGTAAACATTATTGAAATGGCATGTGTTCTGTTATGTCTATTTACTGAATTCTGAACATTTTAAACTTTTACTTTAAAATACAGATTATAAAATATAAATTAATGTTGAAATATATAAATTACCAAATAAACTTTATATTAAAAGAAGTGGTGTGGTGGTGGTTAGGTGCCATCGAGTAATAGCAGGAAACCCTGCCCTGCCCTGCCCTGCCCTGCCCTGCCGGTCCCGTCCTTGCAGTTTTAGGCTTGAGCTCACTGTTGCAGACGTTGTGCCGGTCCGTCCTTGCAGTTTTCGGCTTGAGCTCACTGTTGCGGACGGTGTGCCGGTCCCGCTCATCAAGGCTTCCGTTTTGTTGCTGCCCTTCTACTCTACCAGCATGATGTCCTTTCCCTGGGACTGTCCTCCTGATAGCATGTACAGCGTACGTGAGATAAAGTCTCACCGTCCTGGCTTCTAAGGAGCACTCTGACTACTTCTTCCAAAACAGATTTGTTTGTTCTTCTGGCAGACCATAGTGCTTCCAGTAGTAGAAGTACTGTAATTCAAACATATCAATGAGTCCAAATATGGTGGTAACCTTGACAACTTTGGTCTTTTCTGCATTTCTCATGATTTTGTCTATTGGTCCACTTGAGGATTTTGGTATTATTTATTATGCGTTAGTAATCCTCATTTCGTTTTTTGATGTTTGTAGTATAACAGTGTGAAAAAAAACAAGCAGAGTTTAAGAGGGACAATTTATAAGCCAATCTCCGTTACTAACATAGCTAGAAATTCAGGCGTTATTAAGTAAATAACATGATCTCATTTTGTTTATTTTATCAATGCAAGGTTTACTCAATATTGATTGGAAATGTGTCCAACATGCTTACACCTTTTAACATTTGCCAGACATCTGCACATTATTAACCTAGAATAGTGAACATCTTAGTTAAATCTGAGAGTATCAGGAGTCTGCAGTATATCATCAGTACTATAATTCAGTTGAGTGAAATATTGTGGATCACAATGATGGTACAATCTAATTTGATTAGAAGTCTGATGTTGCAAAATGTGAGTTAAGTCTTGATGAGTAATACTTTGTTGGAATAGTGGAAGCAACATTACAAGTAGAAGAGAAAATGCATGCTAAAACATAGGAAGTAAACACGTACTGTTTCAAAAAATCGCATAGGAAATAACCATATATGGTTTAAGAAAACCAAAACCAGGGCCTTTTTTTTTATATGAATGGTATTTGAAATATAGCCAGAGCACACTAAGGATGTTGGGAAGTGATAGAAGAGAAAGAAGATAGGTGCCAATTGTGAAAGTCCTTGTCTGCCTTGCTTCTTGCTAATTGTGGAATTTGTCAATACAGTAAGACTCAGCTAGTAAAGATTTCTGAGTAGTTATAAAAGAATGACATGGAGGTGGCATCTGCCTTTCTCAAGGGTTAAAGAGAATCAGCCTCCACATCAGCATCATCCTGAGTTGATAGCTATGAGGCTGAGGTCAGACAGGGTACCACTCTCCAGCCTTCCTACCAATTCTGACATAAAGTCCCTCCATAACAGTCTCCCCCTTTTCAGCTGGGTTCAATAATTTATTGCAATGGCCACAAAAAACTCATAATCCGTACTCACAACTGTGGGGTTTATTAAGGAACTTAGCAAGTTACAAATACTCAGGATACAATTATTCAGATAGGACAGACTTCGCTAAGCCCTCAGCGAGGCCCCGCTCTAGTCTTTGGCCTCTCAGCTACACAGAGCCTGTTGGCCTCTGCCCTGCTCTACCAAGGTTGCAAAGCCTTTTTGAGGCTGCCAATAAATGTCCTTCACCATAAGCCTAAACCCAGAATGCATTTCGCTCTACCTCTGTTATTGAACCTAGATTCCTAAATGCCTGGAGGCATCCCGCTCCAAAAGCTACCCTCATGCTTGAAGGTACTCAGCTAAGCTTGCTTTGTGGGCTAAAAAGTCTACTCTTCAGTATGATGCACTGGCTCTTTGTTTTGTCACTCCTCCGCCTCTCTTCTTTTGCTCCTCTGGTGTCACAACTGTACTGGATCAAGGAAGGGTTAGTGTACAAGCATCCTGAGGTTCTAAGGATGTTCTTTACTCCAGGCTGGCTCTTTCGCTGATAATGAAATTTCCCCCACTGCTTCTGAGTTGACTCTTCAGACCCAGCAGGGTGGCAATCACTATGAACTCTGTTAACTATCACTCATAGCTAAATCATGTAATCCTGTCAGTGTCTTTCTGAACCTTCTCTTACCCAGACAGACACATCAAGAAAAATTCATATGGTGGGAATGACAAAAATGGTGACAAGAACCATACTAAATAATTCACAGCAGTAGTTTTATCAATTCAGTTGCTATCTTAAATGTCTTATCTTTAGAAATAAAATATATAACTTCTCTTGTTTTCATAAGTTCTTCCACTGTTGTACTTTGACTTTTGTTAACCAAAAATAGGGGAATCTGGACTCATGACAAAACCGTTAATAGGTATTTATTTCCTGTGTTACATCTTAAACTTTTAAAACCACTGAGAGCAAATCTCTTTCACCAAGCTGTTGCCTAAAAATTTTTTTGAAGAAATATGTAACAGAATACTCAATCTTACTTAGCCCTTGAGTAATTTTATTTAACTCTGCTATTAATTTTGTATCTGGTAAGAGCATATTTGCATAAAGATAATTTCTTGATTATATAATTTGTTTGATCTTTATATAAGGTGTGACTGCACAGAAAAACTACAGAACAAATTTGAGTTTTTGCGCTCACAGCTAAATGACATTTCTTCATTTAAGAATATCTACAGATATGCCTTTGATTTTGCAAGGGTAGGTACAATTTTCTCATGTAGTAATTCTAATATTATTCCTTTTGAGGCTATGGAAAGTAATCAAATTTTGACTTAAATTTTAGGATAAAGATCAAAGAAGCCTTGATATTGATACTGCTAAATCTATGTTAGCTCTTCTGCTTGGGAGGACATGGCCACTGTTTTCAGTATTTTACCAGTACCTGGAGGTATGTATGTATATATTGTCTGCCTTGAACATATTTCCCAAACTAACATAGTTCGAATTGAAAATAAACATTTGAAGAAAAAATAGTATTATAACACTGATTTTGATTCTTTTTGCTTAATAGTATAAAATTTCTGTGTCAATATTAAGTATTTTGTAGATATTTTCAATGGATACATATCTGCTGTTTTTTTAGGAATGAATGAGTTTATGTGTCCTGAATAAATCCTGTGCATAAGATATTCTTTCTATATCAATCCTAAAAAGGACTGATATTACACATTTTAATGCAAAAGATCTTAGCAAAATAAGTTTCATGGGTTTTTTGGCAAGTGGGGAATTGTACCATACAAATCTTGTACTTTTACGTCTGATTTCTTTGTTACCAAGCATTTTAAGTGGCAATCCACTGAAGAGAACCAATTGTAATAAAGCTTTGTTTTTCTACTTAGGCTCAATCTAAAGAAATAAATAAAATGTTTCATATTTTATACCCACAAATAAAACTCTGTAGTAGTATATGTAAATACACTGATCACTAAAAAGTGCATGTTGAAGGTTTATCATTAGTACTTACTAAAGGTGGTAGTTCAAAGACAATGCCTTTTGGTTTAATTTTCTAAGAAGTTGCATTCTTTGTGTACTTTTTAAATTTTGTCTCTTTTTTTTAGTTTAGTTATTTATAGTTCTCATTATTTTATAATGCAGATTTTTTTGCTTTGAGAACCATTTATCATAAAGCTTATTGTTCATCCTAGCAAGTTTCTCAGTAATTTTGTGTATGACAAAAGACAATAGTATTGAAAAGTCTTGGTGTGAGTTTTATACACATGTACATCTTCAGCCCAATAAAGTAGAGTATTTTGGTGGATAGCGTCTTTTCTCTCCTATTAGTAGTGCTGGGTGAAAACACATCCAAATAGATGTAAGACTGTTCACAGCTAAGACAAGAGGGGAAGTGAACTAAATATTTGAAAAATATTTGTTAATGTATTTAACAAGTACAGTATGATTGACATAACTTTTGCTCTGTGTCTTTAACACCATTTTATGTTAAGGTTTATTCATTCTAAATGAGCAGATGAATATTCTCAGTTAAATAACTTTCTAAAGGCTATCCAAGTAAGTTGTAGAACTAACTGGGAGCAAAACCCATGTCTTACACTGTTGTTGTCATTGCCTTCAATAAATCTCATGCAGAGAAATTATTTACTGGGAAGCAGCACAGGGGAACTTTCTGGATGTGTACTATAGTCTCTTGTCCTGTTGGTAGTTACACAGTTAGATACAAATGTTAAAGTATATTGAGCTTTGCCCACAAGATGAGTGCCCATCATGTACCTTTAATCCTTTAAAACTAAAAGAAAATGGGGGGGAAATGAATTAGATGGCATTGACATGTAAATGATTATGAGAATATTGTTAGATGGATACACAAATAGTTAAGAGGAATGAATATTTTAGGGAATACCAAACCATCTCTTATAAAAGTTATAACGGTGTACTGATATCAAGGCTTAATGTAGTATTTGTTCTGTAAACCAAATATTTTATCATTCTCTATAGCAATCAAAGTATCGTGTAATGAACAAAGATCAGTGGTACAATGTATTAGAATTCAGCAGAACGGTTCATGCCGATCTTAGTAACTACGATGAAGATGGTGCTTGTAAGTATAGTACAATGTTTTTCTATGAGAATAAAATTTCTGGAAATAGTTAAGTGAATATACACTCGTGTAGCATTAGCATTAGATTTCCCAGTAAACTTCTGTTATTATACATATGTGGGAGAGGGTGGTGAAAAGAGAGCATAGACCTAGCAATATTACAAAACTCAGATTAATAAAATGTAAGTTAAATTTTGTGTATCTAGATTTACATGGTCCTTTTTCTGGCATTTTTCTATGAAAGAAAACCAGTCATGATATTGGAAATATAAAAGCAAAATAAAAAATCTTTATTTAACTAAAGAGAATCTCTAGTTAATATCTTAGTAAGTACCATTTCACAATAAATATAGCTAGTAGTATTAAAATGACCACTGAGAATTGGTTCTAAGTAAATAGGTAGTGGAATATTTTCAATCTTTAATATTAAAATATCTGTCCGTACACATCAGTGAAAATTTAAAATGCCATGGACATGTTCGAAGCAATGATAGATTAATTATATTTGCAAGGTAAATTCTCTACAACTGTGAAATGCTTTCAGTTTCTACCACCAGGTGTTATTTTAACATTCAGTGGGGTAACATTGAACTCACTGCTATGGAATCAATGCTGTGTCCATTCCTATAAATGTAAATGGAATACTGAAGGAAGACTAACTTGATTTCTGCACAGATTTATTGTGCCCTCCCCCATTAAATGGTATAAAATTTGATTAAAAATTTTAAGGAATAAGACCTTGTAGCAGTAAACCAGCAGCCCAAGGTTCATATATGGCCTACAGATATATGTGAATATTTTAAGCCACGTTTAAAAGTGGAAATTTTGTGTAAAATTACAATTTGCAATTTTGTTTTGAAAAATACTAGGTCTGACAAAACTGCATCTGTGTTCTGCATAAGAATCACACTGGTGGTTGCCACCTTTTGCTGCTCTTGTTTTCCAGTTTGCTGAAATGCAGTGTTCTAACACCTAGGCTGTTTGTGAATTGCCATTTATTATTTTGCTAAAACAATGTCTGTCAAAAGCAAGGGAAGAAAGGAACACCAGTGTGTTTAAAAAAAAAAAGATAGGACAAGCATATTTTCTTGTGGCAATGAATTTTCATACATTTGAAAAAATAAAAATTTAAATTATTTACCCAGCTTCTGTTGGAACCCTGGTGACATAGTTGCACATTTGGCTACTAACCGGAAGGTGAGCAGTTTGAAACCACCATCTACTCCAGTGGAGGAAAATGAAGCTTTTTACTCCCATAAGGAATTACAATTTCAGAAATCCAAAGAGGCAGTTCTGCCCTGTCCTGCAGGGCTGCTATGAGTCGGAATCGACTCAGTGGCAGTGAGTTTGGTTTGGGTTTTGATTTTGTTTTACCCAGATTTTGTAGATATAAGTTTGGACCCCTGAATTATAGAAATAGATATTTTTAGAATAGTTCTTAGTTTATTGTCAAGTGTTTATAGCAGGTTTAGTTAATGGAACAGAATAAATATTATATTGCCATGTTCAGTTTTATAGTAGCCAAATTAAGGGAACAAAGTGCAGCCAAGCCTCTTAACAAGCTTACATACTTCCTGGGGAGGTAACAAAAAATATATGACACTTAAACTCTTTATATTTTGCTTAATAATTGAATGACAGAACTCTATGGACAGTTAAAATGAGGGAAAGGGTCATTGTTGTCTCAGTTGTTGGAGGGTTCATCAATCACCTGGAGAAGGTTATCCCTTCTCAATATTCCTTCTGGAAAAGTCCTCAGACTTTTAAGGGCTAAAAAGAAAGTGCTAAGAAAAGCAAGCAGAAGAGCGAGGCTGGTAGCCAAAGCGAGACACCTGAAGGAAGGGCAGGGCAACCTCTGTCATCACTGAGCTCATGATGAGTTTGTGTTGCAGTGTGGAGAAAGTAGTTCTTGAGTTCTAACAACAAAAAAATGTTTCTTTATTTCTAGGGCCTGTGCTTCTTGATGAATTTGTTGAGTGGCAAAAAGTCCGTCAAGCATCATAACAAGAACTATTGTGAAGAAAATGCAACCCTTTTGATCCCATGTGTAGACAAACTAATGAGCTAAGAGGAACAATCCAAAGGGTGCATTTTCATTCATATGAAAGACTCTTCGTAGTACTTTTTTTCCTTTTTTTTTAAAGGAAATTTTCTTGTTACATGTGATGGGCATTGAGTCACACCTCTTCTGAGACTGAATATTGAAATTTTGCTTTGAGTTATGTTTATAACATTTTATTTCAGAACAATAAAGATTCAGATTTGCGATAAAGGCCTTAAAGTGAAGATGTCCCTTGAGTGTCAGAGTGGTATTTATTTTTGTAAATTTGAATTATTTTTGAGATTCTAAGTTACCATGAATTTGTGAGATTTTTACAGTTTTAAAAAAATCTTAACATTTGGCAATAGAGTCTGCTGTGGTATGGCTCATTATATTCATCGCTGTATAGTTAGGAAGAATCATTATTGGCCTTGACTCCTGGATTAAGGATTTTCTTATGTAGCAAATCAAAAGCTTTTCTGGAGATTGAAGTGTGCCAACTTGCAGTTCGAGGGTTTCTTTAAAAGCTGCCAAGGTCTTATGTAGTTGAAATCACAGATATTTCCAGTTATTTTTATTTCTTAACCATTAAACGGCATTGTCAATTAGCTTAAATTAGCATTAAAAATGTATATTCTTAATGTGAATTTATAGTTTTCTGTCAGAAAATTCTGTTTATATTTGAGAGAACAAGGTTGATATATTAATGGTTTCAAAATCATTCAGCCTTGTGAGAGTCTAGGACCATAATCAGCATTGTTATTAGTGGCATATTGATGATCTTTTTAACTGTCCTTCTGTGTGATATAGGTCATTCTGTTGAAAGTGCCATTTGAATCCCTTTCAAAGAACTTGAGGTCAGATCTCATAGGTTTAGTGTATATGTACATATAGCCACTAGGTCATGTAGAATACAGACGTGTGAGAAGATTCTGGATATAAGTTTGCAGAACTATAGGGTGGCATTTACTTTGGTCGTATTCAGTATTAATCTTTACCATAATTTCCTGCCTGGTGGCAATAAGTAGATTTAGAAAAGCGCAGTGTTTTTTTGAACCATACATTATTCCACTGATAGGAAAACTTTGTTCACATTCACAACCTCAATAATATTCCTAGTTTTATTGTATGAGTGGAGAAAAATATATAATTTATTTTTCATAATATCTGTCAAGATCTGGCATAAGGATTAACTAACTTTTGATGGTGAATTTGTTTAATGAGTGATTTGGGGAAGGGGTATTCATTACATAGGAAAAAACAGCATTTTAAAGTTTTTTATGTTTTCTGGTTAATGAACTGGGCAAGAATAATTGCCAATATTTTATTTGCCATTCCTAATGGAGTCACTTTGTACAGCTTTGTAAAACACTGATATATAATGGAAAAGAAAGTTTTCCCTAAATGTCTTATAGATAATTTTCTTAGCATGTTTTTATTAGTGGTAGAATCACTTAATTCTTAGAACTGAGCATACCAATAGTGTTAACATCCTGACTAATGTTTTAATATCAAATGTATTGTAAGGAAAAATGAAAACTTTTAGACATTTGAATTTTCTTTCCAACAAAACTTTCTGAACTTAAAGAATATTGCCCAATTTAAAAAAATTCCATATCTCCCCAGGTTTGAACATAGTTGTATTATCTTTATCTTGTTTGTTGACTAAAATACCAACATCACAGTTGCCATTGAAGTGGTTTTTGACTCATGGCAACCTCCTGCAGATGAGAGTGGAACTGTACTCTGTAGTATTGTCAGTGGCTGATTTTCCAAAAATAGATCACCAGTCCTTTCTTCCAAGGGTTGTTCTAGGTCGACCCTGAGTTAATTTACTTTGTTTACTTATTTAAAGATACCTTTTAAAACTTTTGCATCAGAAACACCTGTTCCACACTAGCTCTACCTTATTCTCATACTGCATAGGGTCATAACATCTAGTTGATTCGCAAGCAAATATATTCTCATTTGTCATGCGGATTTGGACTGTGTTTCTTGTCTGTTTTGTTATTAATTTATAGTTGAACATGTAAATTCTTGGGTAACTGATGATCAAGAAGTTAAGTTTTATAAGCATTGTAAGCAAAGGGGACAGTATTAGGAGCTTGCAGTCTAAATGGTGTCACTTGACTAGCGAGCTTTAAGTGCCTTCCTTTTGTAAAATTTTTGGAATTTCCTTTGTTCGGTATGAATACTCGGTGGTGCTTTATAACTTGGAAGTGGCTTGTTTGTTAGGGAGTAGCATGTGAGAAAGAGCCAGCCAGTTAACGATTTTCAACAATATGAGAGGATAGAGATGCTGCCCCCCCCACACACACACACACACACACTTACACCCTAACTCACACACTCCTATAAAACAAATACTTTTTTAGTAAAGCGGGGTATCTTTTAAGAAATTGACAGATCTAGGTAGCATAGTGTGTTGAAATGTGATGTAATGTGTTCTGATCTGTATCTGAGTTAACCACTCTCATCTTTCATTTTTTTAAAGTTGTGGGTAAAATTTTTGACATGATTTTGAATATAATAGTATTGCTATGGATCAGAGTTTAAGTAAAAAAGTATTGCTATGAAATAATAGAAACCTTTATTAATCAAAAAATCTCAAAATATGAAGCCATTTGTTGACATGCCTTCCATCTAGGTTTATACAGTTCTGGAAGTGATATTTCCATCACTTAACTCTTCCGTAAAGAATTTTGCAATCTAATGTTCACACCATGTCAAAATGCAGTTTTGGCATCCTCAAGAGACTCACATTGTGTTCCCTTTAAATGTTCTTTGTGCTTTGGAACAAAAACAAGACCAGGGCTGTAGGGTAGATTGGTTAAGATTTCCCAACAAAATAATGATAGAATAGCTCTTGCTCCCCTCGAAGAATGAGCAAGTGCATTGTCAAGATGGCAAGAAATTCCTTGGCACAACATTCCTGACCTTTGTCTTACCAATGCAATTTTCAATTTTTAAAAAATTCTTTATAGTGAGCATCAGATTTCCACAAGACATTCTGAGCTGAGCTCTGTCACATATATATGATATGCAGACATCATAAACAGACTAAGGACACCTGTATTACTGAAAATTTGTCTGCAGCTATCCACTGACTGATTGCAGAAAATTGCTTAAAAACATTTTGTTAGAAATACGTTTTACTTGCCCAGGTATAGTATACATATACATATGTTTTGCTGGGTTTTACTCTGTTTGAAGTACTTTAGATGAATGGTTCTTAACCTGGAATTTGAGGACCTATGTTGGGTTGACTCTGAGGGTACAAATGCCTTTTCATCTAGTAAACCAAAAATATGTCATAACAATATTCATTACTATTCCTTGGGGAGCGGAGAAGTGGTCAAATAACTGGAGATTTTTAAGGAGCACAAGAATTGTGGCGGAACCCATGACCAGAATACAAAGTCTCATTATCTTTTAATTCCATTCTATGAACTTTTTGAAGCCTCTTTGTATTGCTAGTGAAAAATTTTGTTTTCAAAACGTGTCTGCCTGCCTAATTGCTAATGTGAAATTATGAAAGAATTTATTGAAATAATATGCTCAGTTACAGGAGCAAGTAGTAAGAATGCTAACTTAGGTTTTTCTGCTTTCTTAAAGAAGTGAACTTAAAACAATTTTAATCTATTAGTTGGATAAAATTTTGTTCTTGCTTTCTTTTTCTTTTTTTCCCCCGCACCCCCTTGTTCTTGCTTTCTAAGACTAAAACACATCTTTCACATGCTGGCTGAATGTCTAAAGCGTCAAATAATTTGGGGAGCATCTTTAATGCACAATTTAAATTCATGTCTGTTAAATTAAGGGAAGAGACAGAATAACCATATTTCTAAAAAATTCTCTGTTCTTGAGGAAGTATCACTTTTTGAGTGATACTGGAAATCATTACAAAGATACATTTCAAAAAAGGAATTATTTTTTCCCTTTAGGAACAAAAAAAGGTAAATTTTTCTTAATTCAATGTAAAAGGCTGACCTGAATTACTAAATATTCTAGATGTTATAATTATTTATAAATGATGCTTTATTTCACAAACATTTGGTAACATCCATACTAATAGAGACTTAACAGTTTGCGCTAACAAATACTTGACTCAGGTTTTTTGTCAGTAGACTAGCTACTTATGAGTACCATGGAAGTTCAGAATTTTTTAAATTTTATAATCTATAAATAATAGAATAATTTCTGCTTCAACTCTTAAGTGAATTATCACTGATTTTTAATTGTACAGATTTTACTTACCTGGAGCAAATCTTTAAATCTTTCAAAAGGTTATTTTTTGCTCACAACTGGTGCGCAGTCACTTACTTTAGAAAATGAGGGAAATACTTTTTTTTTTTTCAATGTATGAGAGGGTCAGTAGAAAAAATGAGGGAAGCTCTCAGTAAGACTGGTGGACAAGTAGGCTACAAAAGTAAGCTGTTGCATAGCAACAGTTAGAAAGTGGCACTGGTCTGGGTAGGGTTTGCTGTGTACATAGAGGGCAGAACCAACTTGACAGCACTGAACACCAACGTAATAGAACCTTTTATACTATGACACACACCCCCCCCATGGATTATGACAACATCCTAAATATTATTTAAAATATAGTACTGTATATGCTTGAGTATAAGCCGATCTGAATATCAGCCGAGGCACCTAATTTTACCACAAAAACTGCACTAAAGTGCTGTAGAACTCGGCTTATACTCAAGTACATAGGGTAATTACTAAGATCAGAAGACTGTAACACGGGTTTGGAGTTGCTGTGTATATTTTATGGGGCTGTGCTCCATAGTTAAGCACTGAACGCTAACATAGTTTAGTTCTAACCTACCACCTTCTCTTCTGCTCTGTCCGCCTGCTTACATAAGAATTTGCAGTCTTGGAAACTCGTATGAAGCAGTTCTACCCTGCCCTATAGGATCTCTGTGTCAGAATTGACTCGGCAGTGGGGGAACAGTGGTGCAGAGAGATACTCCATAAGTTAGAACAACTTTAGTAAAAATTTGTTTCCCTCCATTTTTATCATTTTGAAGAAGTTATATTTCTGCTTTTTAGTTTTAAAGTAGCAACACATTTCTATACTTAATGGGTTAATTTTAAGTAGTAACGTTTTTGAACATTTTCAAATATATTAGTTATTTAGGAACTAACAAAAATAAATGAAATAGATATGTATAAAGGCAAATTTCCCAAGAAATTTATAGTTGTATAAAACTAGATATTCTTTATCTTTAATGAAAAATGA